CTCCTTGAACACAGGAAGATCTCAGAGATGCTTGACTCAGGGTCACGAAACGGGTAATTACATCTCATTAGAAGGGAAGGATGCCATTTCAGAACGACACTTGTAAATCTTGGTGGAAGACAAAACTTTTCTCTGGGGGCGAGGATCAGATTAAAAGAATTGTTTGGAGGTGCCCGCATGTGGCTCCAGACTCCGCGGCCTCGGAGGGGTTCCAGTAGGGGCGATGCTCGGGTGCAAGGAGCAGCTGGCTGCCTTTCCTCTCGCCTTCCCTGCGCACCAGAGATCTCACAATAAGCTTTTTCAGGCAAGCGGATGACAACGTCCCTATCTGTGTGCTTCGAACGCACAGCGGGGAGCACGGATGGCTTCTTGGTGGTTTTGAGCACCACGGCCCCGATCCCGTGCGAGGCCGGGGCAGGAGCTGTTCGGCGGCAGCAGCGCGCGCGTGCGTACGTGTATTTTGTAGACAGCCCGATCTAAAATTGTTACCATTCTTCTGCCCCTGAAAAGCTGATGTGAAATTAACTCTGTAAAAAGCAATTGCCTTTTCTTGCCAGCGCAATTAGCGTGGATTGTCCATTCTTCTCCAAAGTTCAAGTGTGACGACTGTAGCTTTTTAAAACAGTCACTCAAGACTTCGAGACCAGATGCACCGAGCTCCAGCAACTTCTTCCAGCACCGCGTTGTCAGTTCTGTTTTCCCTCTTTGAAGCAAATCTGCAGACAAATTAAATGGCAACTCAATTTGCTGCTTTTTCCTACTCTGCGAGGCTCCTGTATCTGATCACAACCAGAAGTCTCTTTGGTTCCTGTAGCCGCCCCGAAAAGATGGGTCGTGAGGTTTATTTTAAGGGGATGCTGTCTCCGTGATGGATGGAGAGAGCGTAGAAACTGCTCAGGGAAGAGAACTAGCAAGGAGCCCAAGCTGCTGGTGTAGGTGCCTCGCTGGGCACCTGCGTCCAGCTGAGCTCAGCTCTGGCCGGTTATTTCACCGACACCTTCCTTTAGCTGAAAGCGATAGATGAGTTTTGACATTCAAATTACGCTAATTCTGTGGATTGATCACGGTGCCATTTTTTTCCTTGAGCGCGTGAACAAAGGGTTTGTGTGTCTGTGTGGGTTGTTTCCTTTGACTCAGTTTATTAAGTGGAATTTTGTTTAGGTTTATGGGTTTACATAGCTCAGGCATCATGAAAATAACTCTTTCTTGGAAAGCGTTTGTGGCACTATCCTGTAGGCTGAATCGGCAGCGGTGCTGCTCGTGATAGAGTACCTGTGGCTCGTGTTTTGTTAGAAATTGAAGCATCGTGCTCACAGGCATGTCTTTTTAATCCTTCCCTCCTTTCTCCCTGATGCTTCACTCTATCTTGGTGTGCTACAAGTGGAGACAGAATTGATTTTAAATGTGACCACTGTGTGTGAGCCGAGGTCCCTGGGCTGCGTCCAGCTAAGAGGAACTTGTTTGAAACACGATTTCCTCATCTATTCTATCTTAGTAGTCTTGAAAGAAGAGACTGGAGCGGTCTAAGGCAGAAAGACAAGCGCAAAAATTAATTGTATCAGCCCCAGCCAAAGCCACTCCTCGAGCGTTGCGTCCCTCGGCCTTACTCCCCCTTGCAGTAAGTGTGAAATACGACGGCGGATTTCACATTGCACGGGGAGATTCAGTAAATGGGGCCAGAGAGTTGCTTTGGGTGGTGTCGGAGGCGCGCGCAGCGTTTCTTTCCTTGCCCCTGCCTTACAGGTGCCTCTTTGGGCCGTTACACCGCCCCACCGATACCCGCAGCGTGCCCGCGGCCCTTCGCCCTGGAGCCGCCCTCGGCTTGTCCCCGTGTTCCTCCCTCAACAGCAGCCTCAGACTCGAGCTCGGGGGCATCAAGACTCCAAGTCAGGTCTTGGAGTCCATCCGTCACGCGTCGAACGTGGGGGAGAGGATTTGTGCTTCCTGTTGGGCTCGCCAACAGGGAACTGTTGTCTAACGGGAGGCCAGTGCACGGGGGCTGTTAGAGTCCGTTCCCCTGAGGGGTGCAAACCCATCCCCTGTAGTTGCGTTGGGCTGCTCTTCCCCTTGAGGCCACTCGTGCCTGGGCCCCCAGGCTACTGCAGATTGAGAGCTGGTTCAGGGTTGGTTTTCAGCTGGAGCTTTGCTTTGCTTCTCTCAACTTCCGTGATTCTATGGTGGGTCCATAAACCTCATTTTCTGCCCCCCCCCCCAAGTCTTTTCTCCTCTGTCACAACGCACTGTAATTCCGTAAACGTGTCTGCTTTAACACTCCTCAAAATACTTATATACTGCCAGTAACTGTTTACCAAAAAACTCCCTGAAATGTTAACACAGAGATGGGTCTAAAGAGTTATCACTCCACGCTGCATTTTTGTTTAATTTGGAGTTTGTAATTGATGCTGTTCCTGGAATTCACTTCCTTGTCTGGGTAAGCGGGAGTGGATGCGAACACAGACACCCCGAAGCGTTAACGCGTACGGTCTGGAGCTTTGGGCTGAGCCAGCAGATCCGGGTCAGCAGAGCGAGAGGAGCTTTGCAGACAAGGGCCGGATTAGACGCCCTTGGGTTGGGAATAGACACGCAAAGCCTGGGAGGCGGGAGACGCGGGCGGCCTCCCACCACGGCGTCGGCGTGTCCTGACGCGCCCCCGCCTCGCGTTACCCCGGGCCCTCGGGGACAAGCGATCCCTTCTGAGGGGAGCCTGGACCGAGAAGCTGGACTTCTAAAGGCAGCGCTCAGCGGGCTTAATGTAGCAACATCCCGGCAGGAAAAGCTTCAGTGACTTGAACTTCAAATAATTTATTTCTAAATTACTTCTACTGTAATTCTTATTAATTCAAATAGGCTTCTAAGCTGATGTAAAATTCAGTAAATGCAAGGAACAGTTTAATGAATTGAAAATAGGATTGAGTCTTTTAAAGTAAATGTAAAAAAATATGCTAGCAATAATTGCTTAGATGGAAATCGAATCTTAATAGCTTTGTTAATGATTTGTAGTGAATATTGCGTTTATGAGAACATATCAAGCTGATCCTTGTGCAAGAACCTTGTTTTGAATAGGTTGGATAAAATTATTCCCCAGGAGCAGTTAGTCGGGTTTAATATTTTCGCTTGCGCTGCTTTTGAGGTATTTGCTCGTGGTTTACGCTGGCGCCTGCCCGGGGCTGCGGAGGGCGAGCTCCTCGGCGAGAGCCCCAGGGTGTGCGCGGCCGGTCCCCGAGCGCAGGGGGGACACGGGGCAAGGCAGAGAGCGGGGTAGGACCAGGCAGACGTCCCTGCCGCGCTCGGCACCTCTCGCTGCGGGCCCGGGGACCCTCCTCTGGTTACGGGTGTTACTCTGTTCGATAACAACTTTTCACGTTGCCAAGTTCATCAATCTGGAGAAAGGGAATTTATACCGGGAGCGCAGAGGAACGTGCGCGGGCCTCAGCTCGGTGCCATCAGGCGTGGAAAGGTGTCTGACGGTTTATCAATCTCTTTCTTTCCAAACGATGCAAACTTTTTGTCAAACATTTATTTCCGAGGCCTGTCAAATAATAAATGCAAGTCAGGAAGAATGAGAGAAAAATGGAGAGAGTGCAGGACGAGGAAGACTCGAGCGTAAATAACATCCCCAGATGTACTGCTTGCAGACTTTATCCAGTCCTGGCGTTCCTGCGATTTCAGGGCTGACTCGGCGGCCGGGCTGTCCCCGCGCTCTCTGTGCGGAGAGGCCTTCACCTGGCCAGCGCCCGCGTTCCCTCGCTTCGCGTGGCCCTTTGGCCATCAACGTTCAACGTTCCTCCCACTTCGCTTTGCCTCCCGGTCCCCAAGGCCGGTGTGGTTTGGCAGCAGGCCCGAGTCGTTCCCAGAGGGACCCCGATGGGCGTTCCCCCAGCCGGCGTCCCCCGGGTGCCGTCCCCAGCGCTGCCGTGGCTCCGCGCTCCTCCCGCTCGCTTGACACTCCTGAGATTCCTGCTAGTTATGGAAAAATTGAAATGCAAAGGGTTTTTTTTCAAATTTCCATCCTCTGCGTTCTTCAACATGTGGAGCAAATTTCTCAGCGTGCATGTGATGTAACGATGCGATTCATTAGGAGGAGAGTTTGGGAGGTGATGACCTGTAAATGATTACAAGGCTCCCACGGCATAATTGCATCAAATTCTTTTTTTCCTGCCTCTGGACATTAATAGCGCCTACTGATTACACAGAGTGAGTAAAAACTGGTTCCCTAAAGTCTCTCTGCTCAAGTCAAAGGATAAATGCTTCTTACAGCGAATTGTTCTTTCGAGGTAATTTAACAAAATTCATCTGTTGAGAGAGGAAGCGAATTTCTGCTATTTCCGTGCATGTGGCGAGGAACTTGCTCCCCTGAGGCCGGTAACGCGCATTGAAGTGTGGAGGGGTGTGCGGCAGCCAGGGAGATCTTTCCCTCGTCCTCTGCCTTTGGTCAGGCTTTAAAATGCGGCCGAGGGTTGGTGCTGGGATAAAATGGCTTCTTTGCATTCAAAAGCGCGGTCCGTAATGAGGCCGTACAGCGGACATTTCGCAAACAGTTACCCATAGAGGAGTCCTTCTCCTCTGTTCCCTCCAGCTACTCCTCTTTAATTCAGTGGTGGCCAGTGCAGTTTGTGGGGGGGAGGATCCATAATTGTCTTCCCTGGCGTTGCTGGTTTGAGTGTTTGTCGCGCAGGTAATTGTGTCCGAGCGCTGAAATCCGTCCCAGCAACAATCAGGCTGCACAAGGCCCGATGGTGCAGTCACTGCGGGGGGGTAAAAGGGTCCCGGTTGTGCCTGGCTGGGGGCCCGGGGCGTTATTGCCCCCTTGCTGCCCCCGTTCCCCCGGCCCAAGGCGCCGGTTCTTGCTCAGGTGAAAACCCCCGGAGCGCTGGGCGGGCCGGGCTGTGCCGTTCCTGCAGAGCGCGGGGCGCACGCCGGCGCTGGAGCTTCTCCCTCCCAGGTGCCACTTGCTGACGTCGCTTCTGATTCCGCTGTTGGGTCTTTGCTCTCTCTTGAAGGTGACGGCCAGAACTTGGTTACTGAAGACGTGACGGTGGTGGAGGGGGACGTCGCCACCATCAGCTGCCGCGTCAAGAACAGCGACGACTCGGTGATTCAGCTCCTGAATCCCAACCGACAAACCATTTATTTCAGAGACTTCAGACGTAAGTTTTGTCTTTCTTCTTTGATAACAACTTTCCCTGCGCCTCGCTTGGTGCTCAGGAGAAAGCATTTGCAGAGATCTCTTCTTTTAATGTAATGCTAGATGCTGAAAGTTTAGTCAATTCTTTAGAGGGTAGATGAGACAGGCAATCATAATCTTTCTCCTTAATGGAAACCTTGATGGTCCCCTTTAAAAGTCAGACTGTCTTACTTTGCAATAGGAATTGATTGTAGTAATTCAGGGTGAATTACAATTGAGTGCCAAATATTTAGCTGACACAAACAAATTGAATAGGGCAATGCCGAGACAGTGCAGTGTTCTCAGAGGTAATCTGTGCGCTTCGAAGGCTGAAAATTTCAAGACAGTCTCAGCTTCTTTATAACCAAACCAAAATCTCCCGTCAGTGCTGCGGCCGGTGAATGAGTCTGGCTTTGTTTCCTGTTGTGACAGTGCCCGAGCACGGTGGCTGCAACCAAACGCTTCAGATCGTCTGTGTTCATGTCACTGCGGGGCCGGGACACGGCGCTTCTTGTGCCTGGCGCTGGGGAGACGCTCGGCAGGGGACGTGCTCTGCCCAGGGGTCGCAGGATCCGACAGTGCACACGAGCGGGGGCCGGAGCAGATTGACAAAGCTCCGTTTCCAAATTCGTGAAGGAATTTGGGCGGACGTTACTGGTCAGGAAACAATCTTAAACTCGGCTTGTCCCAGTTCTCTTGTCTTTCACGCTGCCCCCAGCCCGCTGGCAGCGTACAGTCAGAAACGGGTTCACACAGAAGTGTTTTCACAAGGAGCATTTTACTGACACGTCCAAACCCGTCTGATAATAAATCCGCGTCCAAAGATTCAGTGCTGTGCCCAGTGATTTGCTGAGGCCGATTCTTCGTGACGATCTCAGAACACAAACGTTCTCTGGGTGCGGACTGGACGGTAAGCAGCAGGGGGGTGGCTGCAGTCAGGAGCCGGGGGGCTCGTCGAGGCGCTGCTGCTGTGTCTGTGGACGTTGTTGTGTGGTGAGAGGGGCCGCTGCGCCTCTGCCGGCGGTCGCTGAGGCTGTGCTTGCTCCGCAGCGCTGAAGGACAGCAGGTTCCAGCTGGTGAACTTCTCCAACAGCGAGCTCCGAGTGTCCTTGACAAACGTCTCCATTTCGGATGAGGGAAGGTATTTCTGCCAGCTCTACACTGATCCCCCCCAGGAGATCTACACCACCATCACAGTGCTCGGTAAGGACCCGACGGGCGCTCGCGGGGGGGTTCAGGGTTGCTGGGGGCGCGGGGTCAGCGGGCCGGGCTCCGCACGGCGTTCAGGGAGCTGGGGGCACCCACGGGGGGAAGTGTGGAACGGGTCCAAACACCACGGGCTCACTCAGCGCAGCCGGGGCCTGAGCCCGCATACACGGGATTTTCAGGGGTGGCCGATGGGTTGTCCGGTGGCACGGCAGAGCCCACGCGTCCCCTCCTCCCTGCCAGGCGTCCCCAGTGGCACCCTGACCCTCTCTGTGCAGGTCACATCATATTTAGTGTCATTCTTGGGTCTCCCCCTTGCTCACCCACGATTTCTGGCTGCAGAGAACAGCAGAGGTGTAAGCGTGAGGGCTTCTCCGGTTCCCAGGCTCTCTCTTACCTGGGCAGGTCTCTGGGGAGGGTTTTCCTGCCCTTTACGGAGCGGGGTGTAATACCCGCCGTCGGTTGCAGACAGCCTGCCAGGGTTAGCCGTTAGTGCTGTCGCTGCTCTGCAAGAGGATCCGAGTCCATCCTTCGGCTTTTCGGGCGAGTGCAGACCCGCCGCGGCCCGGCAGGAGCGTGGGTCCGGCCCAGGGCTCGGTGGGATGGCGGCAGCCGCACCAGACTTGCCTCCCTCTGCCTTGACGGTGCTCCCGGGGGCGCAGAAGGCACGTTCCGGAGGGAGAAGGGAAGTTGCAGCAGTTGCGTCTCATTCAGTGAGTGAGGAAGAAGTCAGCCACACAGTAGAAGCTGTGGAAAATGTCTTCAATAATTATCTGACATGCAGAAGGAAAATAAATTAACATGAATGCTTTGCAGCACGGTAGAGCTGTTCAGTTTATGAATTCTGTGTGTTCAGTAATCAGACCACTCTGATCACACGCCGAATCTTTCCTTCCAAAACTGGGGGGTTTGAGAAATTGCATCTTAATGACCAATGACAGCATCTTTGCCCATCGATGATATTCCTTAAGGGCAGATATGACTCACAGCATCGCTGGCGGACCTCCTGCCGTGCTGGCGATGCGTAAGTTTGCGCGTGTTTGTCAGTCGACTCATCCAGTGGAACCCTGAGCTCATCTGACGGGCAGCGAGAGCTTCCTCTCAGTCGTAGCGCAGGTTTGTCTCACGTGGGCGCGAGCGCTCGCGCTCCTTTCAGGCGGTGCGTTTGCGCGCGGGCTGTTGTCAGAGCCACGTTCCTCGGCTACCCCAGGCCCGTGCGGCTCCGGCTACCGGGGCTGCCTGTGGGACTCTTCATGGGAGAACCCGAGTCACTGAGGGCGACTGCCTGTGAGCTCTCGCTCGCTGATCAGTCTGACCCTTCCTCCTTCTGGCTGATGAGATTTTCTTCTCAAGTTTGTGTACATGATTCTCGTAAGCAGCTCTACTCTAGCTGTTACAGTTATCCTCAAAGTTCCAGTGCATCTTCCAGGATCTATAGCTCCCCCCCAGCTCTTGTCTCCGACCACGCAGACACAGTTTGCTGGGTTCCATTTCTAACAACGCTGAGAAGGTGTTGGAAATAAGAGTCCTTCTTTGTTCGCCTGTAAACCAGCACTGCCTGTCTTTCGAGCAGGAGCAAAGACGCGGGTTTTTTGTTGGGGCTGCTGCGGTTTTTTAGAACATGAATTGTGCTTCAGAATTCAGAGGGAAGTCTGTTTTCTTGCCCCGCACTTGAGTGCTTTCGGAGAAGGCCTCTCCCTGACCTCCGTCCCCTTCACCTTGGGCCAAACCTCAGCTTGCAGAGCCGGCGAGGACAGCGGGTGTTTACTTGTCGCAGGCTGGGGAGGGGACTGCTCACCTTAGCTAGCACTTGGGCGGAGAGATCAGGTCCCATCGCGGCACGGAGCGCGTCATTCCTGTCGCCAGTATTATCGACTCCCTAACTAGGAGAAAGAATCAGCTGGGGCGGAGGAGTGGTTCTGCGTGTCGGGGTGCGGCCAGCCCTAGCGCTGCGCTCCCCACCAAAGGTCTCGTGGCCGCTGCTCAGGCGTTGATGTATTTTAGGGTCTCTCAAAGAGCCCTCCTGCCGATCTGCTCCCAGCGACACTCGCTCCAGGGAGCCGAGCAAAGCGGGGAGTGTCCTTTGCCGTCAGCGTTTGCAGAGCTTCACGTTTGCTTTAGCAGCCTCCCCCTCTCTCCCGTGTACTTTAATGTCTTCTGTAACACAATATGTAGATTTATTCATGCTTAATTGGAACATGTGAAAATCTCAAATATGTAGCCCATTCTGTTCTTTTTAGAGAAAAGCCACAAGTGACTAATTAGTCCATTTGATCATCTGGATGGTATTTATACATATTTGTTCTTCATTAGCTCAAAAACGTGTTAGTCACATTTGAACTATGCAGTTGCTTAATCATATTGATCAGAGCAAGGTTGAGTTTCCTTTGGAAGTTCTGGGTTTTTTCTGAAACTGCAGCTCAGTGTTGTACGAACTCTTGATGTTCTTTTTTTTTTTCTGTTTTTTGCCTCACTAGCTAAGGGTGCTTCCATGGGGAAGAGAATCCTTCTTTCTGTCAGATTTTTAAGCCCGTTTGTCACATCTCTGGGGCTGCTGTGGCCATGGTCCCCCTGAAGTTGTAGCCTGTTTCTGAGTAGCCCTGGGTTATTTTTCATTGGGTACAGCCTTCCAGCTCGGTGCTCTGGAAGGAGGTACCTGTCTGGGGAGAAGGGCAAGCTGCCGTGCTAAGGACCTGCCGTGGGGTGCAGGTGCCCATCGCGGGGTGCGGAGCGGGCGCTCAGCCCCCTCGGGGTGGCTCTGTGCCGGGCGTGTGGTGGTGCGACGGGGACGCGGTGCTGCTCTGAGGGTGGTGCCCTCCCACCCCGGCCTTGCGCTCGGCGGCTCCTTGAGCATCTTAAACGAGGTTGATGTTTGCTGGCCGGCTTCCACGCCTCGCGGCCGAGGCTGGAAGCTGAACAGCAGGAGAGAGGAGCTGCCTCGCGCGCGAGGTTCGAGGCACGGTAAGTAACGCGCTTCCAAATGTCAGCTTTTGTGTCTCCTCTCCTTGTCGGGAGTCAAGAAGCGCGCACCGAGCCGAGCTGTAGTTTTAAATAGCAACATACACATCTGAGTAGTGCGGAAGACTAGAGCTGCTCCTGGCGCGGCGCCTGCCTGGGAGGGAGAACAGAAAGTTACAAATTTGATAAGTAATAACTTGCGAAACTACAGTGATTGTGAGGTGGAGAGTGAAAGCGCTCGCTCTGATTACCGCGAGACCGCCTATCAAAGGATTGGATCGATCGAAAGATCAAATAAATGCTGGTGGCTAGTTCCCCTCTAGTAGATTTTATGGGTTTTTCTGAAGGTTTTGTCTGCTGTTAGTGATCAAAAAATGTTTTTTTCATCACGTATGTGTTGTGTTGGTTTTCTCATTGTAGTCCCGCCACGCAATTTGGTAATTGATATCCAGAAAGAAATCGCCGTGGAGGGAGAAGAGATTGAGCTGAACTGCACTGCCATGGCCAGCAGACCAGCCACCACCATCAGATGGTTCAAAGGAAACAAGGAGCTAACCGGTAGATGTATCCTCTCAGTCGCTTGCTTTTTTCAGATAGCTGAAATGATTTATGTAACCCTGGGTTTTTGTTCTCTGTTGCCAGTTTGAGGGGGAAAAAAAAAAAATAGAGCGAGCTGCTGTAAACGCCAGCTCAGGAACAAAGGAATATGTGGGCAGACAGATGATTCTCTAGCACAGAAGGGCTGAACTCCAGTTGGCCCTCTGCCTCCCTGCCAGGCTCGAGTACGGGCTTCTGGAGACTTTCTGTAGCTGCAGGTGCCCTTGAGGGGCCCCAGAGCTGCGCGTTGAGTTTATTCCCGCGGTGGTTTGTGCAGCTTCCTGCCCGGTCGGATCGTCGGCGCTTTGGGCTGTAAAGATTTTCCGTTCACCTTCACGTCTGGCTCTCTTGTTGGGAGAGCGTTTTCTCCGTGTTCGGTTGAATATTCATACGAGGTGGGTTTCTCCGACTCCCTGAAGTCTGGTTGCTCCCGGTATTTGCACATTCCAGTCAGCGGCTCTGATTGCCTGTGACGTGCTGTTGGTTTAAGTCTGCGTGGAGATGTGAGTTTGCTTGACACCACCTTTGTGCTTTACCCGCTCCGAGACGCCGAAGGACTCGCTGCAGAAGTCCGGGCTCAGCGCTCCAAATCCAGCCCCTTCCAGGGCGAGGTGGAATCCTCTCCTGAGGCCCCCAACGCCCACGAGCGCCCGGGGGGGCGGGGGGGACGCAGCCCTGCTGCCACGCCAGGCCCTGCCCCGCCGCTTCCCCGCACCGCTGTCACCATCGTGGGGGCAGATCTTCCCGGGACCCCTTTCTGGGGCTCCCCCCGTCCCAGCGCGCGGCACCGCAGCAGGATTTGGCCCTTCATGCTTGACCTCTCCATCTTGTGGATGGAGTCTTGTGTTGGCGGTGGAGCCCCAGCTCTCCCCCCTCTTTGACGACGGCTGAGCTGAGCGGCAGGTTCTTGCAGCACCAGCTCGCCCGCGGGGCCTCGGGATGTTTTCCTTGACTCGGAAGCAGGGAAAGGGAACTGCTGGGTTGTGGATGGCAGGAAGGGGTAGCGTGGCTGATCAGAAAGCCAATCCTCTCGACATCAAGGGCCGTCACTTTCTGCATCTGGCCTCTGTTTCGCTTTAATATATTACACAGAAATATTTTGTGTTTGCTACAAAAGTCACTCTGAACGTTTTGACTGAGTTCTTCAGTAAAAAGCCACAGATAAGAGTGTTTGAAGGCAACGTGGCGGTGCGCTGTCAGCCAGCGCTTGCTGAGTTCCTGGAAAAATCCTTTTTCTCCTGCCTTGTCTTGTCTTTCCTTCCTCCTTGTTCGTGCGGCGCGTTGTGGCGTCCTCCGGCAGCCGGCCCCGCACGTGCCTCCCCCCTCTCCGGGCAGAGCCCTGCTGCCGTGCTTCAGCCCATCGATGCTACTTTCAATTCCCTTCATCTGTTTAATCACTTTCCTAGCTATTTGTTGATTGAAGGGCGGGAGGGGATTTGTAGCTCATGGATGTCAGAGTTGGGGGTTTGGGGGCAGCGGCCGTTCAGGGGCAGCATCGTCCCGCGGAGCCGCATGCCCCCCGCCCTGCACCGCCCTCCCTCCGTGGTCACGCTCCGCGCGCTCTCTCCTCTCCCCGCAGGCAAGTCCGAGGTGGAGCAGTGGTCCGACATGTACACGGTGACCAGCCAGCTCTTGCTGAAGGTGGGACGGGAGGACGATGGCGTCCCCGTCATCTGCTTGGTGGATCACCCTGCTGTCAAAGACTTGCAGACGCAGCGTTACCTGGAAGTCATGTGTGAGTAGCAGAACTTCTCATTCGCTTAATGTCTGAAATTGCTCACCAAGGAGTTCAGGAACTATTTGCTACCTGATAAAACTGCAGCATAGATGGGGTTTATATCCCCTTGTATAAAAAGTGGAATCAAAATGTTGGGTGCCACTTCACGGGTCAAGGCGTGACGTTTCCTAGCCCTCTGCGGTACGATAAATACCTGCCTTCGTTCTCTTAAGAACCGACTTTCTGTACATAGAATTTGCATCATCAAAGGTTCCTGGCTGGGCTTTATAATAGTCAGAACAGATTAAATCTGAGTATTTTTCTTTTAGCAACCTACTTATCTCTTTGACAAGCGCTTCCCTACTACCACATCAAAGCGACCAGCCGCCATTGAGAGTTTACTGGCAAAAACTTGGTGCCGTCCAAAGGAATCTCAGTATTGTGCTTTGTGAAGGTGCAGCACCAGCTGGTTTTAAAAACCAGAGTCACAGGAATTATGTGGAGCCTGTAGCAACGCCACTGACTAAGGCCAAGCTGTTTCTGTAACGCTCCCAACGTGTTCAGTGCTAGTAACACATTTCACTTCATCCAGGACCCGCGCTGCTGCGTAGGGGGTTGCCGAGGTTTCGGAGCGGGTTCCTGGCAGGCTGGTGGTGCCACGCGCAGCCCTGCCCACCCTGCAGCCCGTGACGATGACGGAGCTGCTGCACACACACACACACACCCCCCCGCTCCCCAAAGGGCTCCCCAGAGCAGAGTCAGGGCGTCCTCGCTGCGGGGTGGGGGTGCCCTGGGAAACTGGGCTGCGAGGGTGCTTCAAAGGGGCTCTGTTTGTAGGTTCACTTCAACTCTAACGTTACATTAAAAGGGGAAGAGGAAGTTTTGTATTAATGTATTTCATCTGCTTCATTATGTAGTTTCATTATGAACATCTTGGTTACTATTCTCGTATCTCTGGAACTAGCGGGAAGCAACGTTCCTGTAATGAGGAAAACAGAAATGATCAGATACCTCTTAAATTGGCAGATACTAGATTTCTTGCTACTGTGCTAATGTGTAATTCATTTATGGAGACGTAATGTCCATTAACATTTCTGGTAGAGCTCCATTAGCTTTAATAATGCATCGGCACCTTTGTGAGGTTTGATCAAATACTTAATGGGGGGAGAAGAAAAATCCCATCTCCCCTGTTGTGGAGGTGTTGAAATCTTGCCGGGTTTCTTCCCCTTGGGTGACAGGGTTGACATTTCCTTTGGGCTTCCTTTCAGAAATTCCTCTGAAATCCTGATTGTTGGACGGGATAGGCCAGCGCCGCTGTTTCTGAAAAAAACCTTGTCGTTTTTTCCATTCTTCCTGCAGTCAGTCCCTTGTCATCCGCAGCCGTTCCAGGGCTGCCCGTGCCGTGGAGGCCGACCCCCCAGGTGCGGTTGTTGGGGTGCCCTGTGGGTACCCGTGGTGGTGCCGGGGAGGCTCCCGCTGCGCCTGCCGCGCGGGTCCCTGCCCTCAGCACCCCCTGGAGCAGTCAGGATCCTCTGCATTTCCTACCTGCTGCCGGGCCTGAGCTGAGCGGGGAGCGGCAGTGGCAGAGCAAACGCCTCCCCTGGGGCCGGACCCGCTTCACGCCGGTGACTTGTTGGCCGAGGGGAGAGTGTGAGGGGGAGGAAAATCCTCTTGTCTTCCCGGGTGGGCAACTCACCAACAGCTCCCGCGGACGCGGGCTTGGCCCCTGGGGGAACGCGGATCCCGCCGTGGGGCCGGGATGGCCACACGTCCCCCAGGAGGACAGGGTGGCACGACGGGCACCCACCACCCTGCCACCGCGGTGAAGGGCTCTGGGTTTGCGTCGCACTCGCTCTGCGTTGGCAGCCGGAGATGGGGAGGGCGGGAGGTGATAGAACAAATCGGGGGGCCTGAGGAGCAAATACAAACGTGGCGGTTCCCGCTGCCGCTCG